TTATGAACAAGTAGAAAAAATTAAAGTAGATAAAAGAACTTTGGTGCTTGAACATTGTAAGACTGAATCTAAAACCAAATTGCAGTCAAATAATGAATGTGATTGCTGAAATGTATAAACGTTTATTGAAATTTGAAACAGAAGAAGAACAAGTGAAAGAATGTGTGATAAAATGAGCTAAAACTTTGGTTATAAAATACAAATGGAACAGGGAGAATATGTGGCTGAAAGCATAGGAATTTACATTTAATTTGAAATACAATTTTTATAAAATGATGTATTGTTGGAAAAACTATCTACAATATATAAAGGTACTTCAAATTTATGCTGGAAATGTAACTAACAAGAAGAGAAATTTTGTCGTGTTTGGTACTCGTGTAAAAAAGTTTAAAAATGAACTTGATTACATATACTAATACAGAATATTTTAAAGATTAATATGCATTTAAAACTAGAGACTTTTCTTTTGAGACTGATGGTTAAACATTTGGGAAAAAAACCCATTAAATTTGTTTTTGTAAACGACAATTTCAGCAAGACTATTATAGGCACAATGGAGGAAAAATTTGACTTTACTCACAGTGGAGGAATGGGTGATGAAGATGATGGAACTTACTGAAATGGTCAAATTGACAGTTTTAATTAGAGATAAGGCGTCCAAATGTAATTTATTTATTTACTTATATGCTGCCCATCCTGCCAATGGCGACTCTAGGTGGCTTACGCTCATTCCATCAAAATGGCACATAAAACAATAAATCTTATATTTAAAATTCAGTTAAAATTAAAGGGAACAAGATGGAGAGGAAGGGAGCAAAGTGTGCACAGGGAGGAGGAAGAGGAGGAGGAGGCATATCATCTAATCCATTAGTCACTTCCATAATGCCACATCCTTTTTGGATTGCAGTGCAGTTGGCAGAGCCATGTCTTCAAGCCCTTTCGGATGACCATAAGGGTGGGTGTGGATCTCACCTGGGTGGGGCATGATTTTCCAGCGGGTGGGAGCCGGAATTGAAAAGACTCTTCTGGATCTGCCACCTGAAATTCCTTGCCTGACGGGGTCCACAACATGCCTCTTCTGCCAGTGTGAGTAGGGTGGGCTAATCCCATCAAGATGAGACAGTTCTTCAGTTAATCTGGACCCATGAAAGCCAACACCTTGAATTGGACCCGCAAGCAAACTGGCAACCAATGTAGCTCAGAACAGTGGTGTAACATGGACCACCAAGGGGCCCCAAGAACAGCCCATGCAGCTGCATTCTGAACCAGCTGAGGCTTCCAGATATTCTTCAAGGATAGCCCCATGTAGAGCATGCTGCAACAGTCCAAGTCTGAAATGACCAGGGCTTCAGTGACTGAGTGCAGGACACCTGATCCAGGAAAGGGTGCAGTGAGTGTACAACAGGAAGTGGTTCAAAGGCTCTCCTAGTCATGACTACCACAAGCTCATTGAGCAGGAGTTGTGAATCCAGGAGAATCCTAAAATTGCGCACCACGTTGGAAGTGCCACTCCTTTCAGAGCTAAAGAAGTTAAAGTCCAAGAAACCGAAGTTCTACATACCCAAAGCCACTGAGTCTTACCAGGGTTCAGACAAAATCTGTTGCCCCACATCCAGACCCCCAAAGTCTCCAAGTACTGTGAGAGGGTAGACACAATAATGCTAACTGGGAAACTTTTATTGACTTGTTGATTTATTTGAAACAGAAAAAAATGAAATTTTGATGTTATACCTTTAGAAACATGAAACAACTTTTTAAATATCAGTATATATAAATTACTTTTATAACATTTATAAATCATAATATAATAACATTATAGTAAAGTTTTTAAACAAAGTTTTGATGATTAAAAATAAATTATAGAAAAAATGCAAGCAACGCCGTAACGTTAAAGTAAGAAGTTAATATGCATTTATACTTATAACTGCTATAAGAGGAAATCAAGTCATTTTTTATGTTTTTTCTTCTTTTCATTTTTTCTGCAGTTTCAGCTTTTTCATATTGCCTCTTTTCTGTTCATTCTCGAAAATTAGTTCTTGTTAGATTTTATCTTAAAATTTTAATAAAATTACATAAAATATGTGATGACTAGCAGCTGAATGAGTAATTGGATTTCAACGAACAACATTGTAGAAAAGGATATTAATGTATTACGTATACTGCCTAATTATGTATGGTTCCTTCAGCCTTGCAATGGGATTGTAATGATAGCAACATCAAGTATCAACAGCAAATCTCACCTTTCTCTGATGCATTCACAACCTCTCCAAGTATTATAATAGCTGCTCTTTAAAAAAAAAAAAATCTGACAGCAGATAAAAGTAACTAGGTAACTCCTGGTAATTAGGTAAACACAGATATGTACTTTCCTTGGCAGCAGTATAGAAGTGGTTTGTCACTGCCTGCTTCTGGAATATTTCCGTTTTACTTCCAGTCTAATCCTCAGGCTAGAGATTTCCTGACGTTTCAAATCCAAGTATTAACTAGATCTGACTCTATTTAGCTTTTGAGAGTCACCCAGCTCAACCAGTTGCCGCCATGTTCTGTGACAAATGCTACTTAATTTCAGCCCCTTCCAGTGGTGTTCTGAGCAACAGGGCGTCAAGATAAGAGGGCTTAACAATAGCGACATTTACATTATGAAGATCTCCCTGTACTTCACAAGTGCCTGAGGCTTAAACCTTTTTATTTTATAGCAGGTTTTAGGAATAACAAGTACGCATTTGCATTAGTTAATATTTCTTTTTTAAAAAGATTTTTTTTGTTTTAAATCTTTTTTTGCTCTTCTAGTTAAAAAACATATGAATCATTCTTTACAACAGTTTTATGAAATAATTTACCACATGAATAATGAGGCCCAATAAAACTTGAATGATCAGTAGAATTGCATTAAAACACTTATTTCAGGTAAAACTATCCATTAACTGAATCCTAAAGCCACAATCCTATGTACGTTTACTTGTGAGAAAGACCTACTGAATACAATTAATCTTATTTCCAAACATTCATAGAATTTGGCTTTATGATTACAGCCCTGTACATCTTTACACTGAAATAATATGAGATTCAGTATGCTGATGTTATCGGGCTGTATATCTCTATCACAGGTCAAGCAAGTGATGGTGTCAAGGTCTGGTCTCAGCACCTGTTGTGTCCAGGATAAGGAAAGATAAGCTTAAATTCAGCACTGAGAAGACTGGTAACCTAGTTTTGAATCTGTCATTTCTGAAAAGGCTGCACTTTCCCAGATAGAACTAGTGCACAGTTTGGGGGTTCCTTGAATTCACAGCTCCTATAGGAAGATGTGCATGAGATGATCTTTGCTCAGATTTGCTACACTAATTGCACCCTTTCGTGGATTAGGAATGCCCTTTTCACATTCATTTATGCTACAGTTACTTTGCATGTGAACTACTGCAGTGGGCTTTACACAGGGCTGCCCTTGAAGATGATACAGCTGGTCCAGAACAAAGAGTTGCAAGCAGTTATGGGCTTGCCTCAGCTTGCCTACCTATCACATTTCCACTGCAATTCAAGATGCTAATTGTTACTCCAAAGCACTTCATGGCATACTTCTCTGAGGGGTGGCGTTTTCCCAATGCATTTACTCAACCCCATCTAACGGGACCTTAATGCTTTCTCTGTCCTGTCATCCAGGCCTGGAATAGTATCCCCCTGAGCCTTAAGAGTCTTTCTTTGTTCCTGAGCTCTGGTTAAGGTTGGGGGGGGGGGGGTCTGGGTTCCCCTGAGTAGGATGTTTAGCATATTGATGCACGTCTGTTTTTTCTGACTTATTTTTAAAATTGATTTCCTGTTATTTTTAAAAAATCTATATGCTGCCAAGATCACTGAGAGTTGGGCAGCCTTATATGTGGAGATTTTATACCTACGGGATGTACCAAAACCAGTTGACCCGTATGCCAAGCCGATAGGCCAATTACAGTGTTATATTTTTTTTCAGAGATAATTACTGTACTTAAGAAATGTTCAAAGGTCATAAGTCAAAATAATGTGTTTGAGTGAAAGTGGTAACCGATTCACACATTTAACATAATTTATCTAATAGTCTATGGGGGCTGACTTTTCGTACACCTTGTCTACGTATGTATAATTCTTTTTGTCTTCGTGTAGCAATTCAGTCAATAAATAAACAAACTGCACGGTAAGCTGCCATCGTCGACTCACCTAGTATAACCAAATGGAGAGGAACGTGTCCGAAGGAAATATTTTTGTCCGTGGTTTACGCGCGCGAGGACGCGTGTTCTGTAAGAAAGATCCGCGACATCTCGGGAATTCACGGTATTTTGAGTTCGCGCAATACACTTTTATCAGATCAGTTGCAAACTTAACCGGCTGCATTGGCCAATATATGTTAAACTCGATCAAGTTTCATCTTAGCTTACCGTAGTTATTTTGGATTGGATGGTTTCTGTAATGCTGCCACTCTAAAGCTGATGGCTTATTTAAGGATTTGGGATACTGAAGAGCCTGCAGGTGATGGAAATAAAAACCAACAGACGGGAGGAGGCTGAAGGTTGGTAACAGTTGCAGCCCTGTGTAATTTTCCCGCCTGAGGGATCGGCGAGATCACACCAATCCGCCCAGGCAGACCCATGTCCCGTTTGCAGCTGGAGGGAAGGGCGAGGGCAGAAGGCGGGAAGACTAAGGAGGAGGTGGAGACCAGGCGGAGCCCAGTCAAGCAAGCGAGCTTTGGCTTCGCCTCCCACCTCCTCCTCCTCCTCCTTCTCTCCCCGGCGGGTCCCGTGCGGGCGGGAGAGTCGGGAAAGAGCGAGCTGTGTAGCGCCGGAGCAATGGCCGCGTTTCCCGGTGGTAGCGGCAGCTGCGGACTCGCGTGGCCGCGCTCGCCGCCCGCTTCGGCTCTGGGTTGGGAACCGATGCTGGGGCTCCAGATCCGCTCGCGCTCGGTGGAGCAGACGCTGGTACCGCTCGTGGCGCAGGTAACGAGCAAGTAAAGCCGAGCGGGCGGCTTGGCTCCCGCGCGGCTACTATCTCAGTCCCGATCGGTCGTTTCCGTCCTTCACTCTCCGGCAGGCGCCTTAGGTTACCCGCGCGCCGTCGGTACCCCTTCCTTAAGTCCTGATTTTCATTTCGAGTGCATGCTATCCAGAGTCACTCCGGATAGGGGCCCTTAACAGACGGCTTCCCAAGGAAAGTATCTTTGCTTTACATTTTCGGTGGCTGTGCCCCACTCGCCCTCCGGGGATGTCGTTAAAAAGCTCCCGGAGTTGGGGACTGATGCGGGGGGGGGGGGGGGTCTTTCAAAAGCATTGTAAAGTAGCCTGGAGCAAGAATCCCTCTCCAGCCGTACCCCCACGCCCCCCCCCATTTGCGCGCGCGCGCTTTCGCTCCCTCCGGAAAGAACTTGGAAGCGTCGCCCGGAATTCGGAACGCGGGTTTGGCTTGAGTCCAACTTGGTGAAACCAAAACCCACTTAAAAGAACTGCAAACGGGGGTTTACGAGTCTTGTCCAGCGAGAGAACATCTTGGAATTTCAGCCTGGCCTTTGTGCTTTGTTTTGTCTTTCTCTCGGGCCCAGAAGTCGGGCATAACTTTTTTTTTTTTTTTTAATGCTCACCCTCACGAGCTGTAATCCTTGAAAGAATTTTGACTGCCTTCCGGAGGATTAGCAGCGCATCCCGTGTAGCCTTCGCTCGCAATCTTTGTAGGGCGAGGGAGGAAGGATATATTATATTGCATGAAAGTTAACCTTAAACGAGGACGATGTACGCCTCGTAATCTTATAAGGCAGCACTTCTCCAGTCTCTGAAAATCCTGCAAATTCAATAAGAGTAGTTCATCTGCAGCTCTCAAAACAGTTATTCTTCTAGTCGCCCCATAAAATAAAGACTTTCTGGGAAAATGTACTGAAAATACGATTGAGTATCTCCCATTGGTAAATCTGTGCCTTTGGAACCAGTAAAATTTATTTTCCAGTAAATGTATATAAGATTGGACTATGTGAGCACACACAAATCATGGCTTGCCCTTATGCAAGAGAACTAGTTGAAGTAGCATCTTAGTTATCTGCAGTTCTCATTCATTTCACAGGGAGCATTTTGATCATCTTGGTTTAGCCTGTCAGTGCTTTGTCAAAAGCCAGGGGAAAAGTCAGTCTGCTTCTGGATTAATCCCTGTTCAGGCAGTACATTTCAGCAGGAAACTAAGAAGGTTGCTGAATTGCAGCATTAATTTTATTGAATGTTCAGGCTGTGGGTGTAGACAGAATTTCAGATGTTTCAGTTGGAAGCCAGAATGAGTGGAAACTGGAAGAAAAACCAGTGAAATGGATTTGGATTTTACAGGCCTCCTTGGTGAAGTGTTCTTTTTAAAATTCTATGCAAACAAATGATTATGTTGGATGATAAACTACTGTGGCTTTTTCCTGTATCAATTTATTTACATAATGCATATGATATATAATGATTATATATTCTTCTGGCTTTATGGTCTGTAGTTTATGAGATTAATGAGGTAAAGTGATTTGGAACAGAAGTTGCTTTGCTGCTTCCAAACTTAATGATGGTTAGAACAATTTAAATATTTTTAAAAATAGTTTAACAAGTTCATAGAAGATGCTGTTCCATTTTTTAAAGATTATCTTTCTTCATTTCCCTGTGGCTATTCAAAAGTTTCTTTACTGTACTTAATGCATACTCTTTTCCATTGGGCAACTTAGAAAGCAGCTGTTTACTTGCCTAGTTGTATCAGACTCAGTAAAAATATTGTAATAGCTTATATTAGTGGTGGTGAACCTATGGCACATGTGCCAGAGGCAGCACTCGGAGCCCTCTCTGTGGACACGCACGCCGTCACCCCAGCCCTGCAGCCCCCCTGGAGGAGAATCACCCCTGGCAACAGCCCGCACAAAGGAGCACAGCCAAGCACATGGCAGCAGGGACAAGATGCCACCCTTGCGCCCCGTCACATAGATGATACTGCAAGGCGCGGGCAGAGGGCATGGCCTCCATGACGCTGCTGGGCCGCCTGGGTGATCTGCTATGGTAGGCTGTGGAGATGGTGGGTGGTCCTGCGGGCGGGTGGGGTGGGGGCGTAGCAGGGGCAGGGCGGGGGGACGGAGTGGGCAGGGCGGTTTTTGGGCACTAGGTCTCTAAAAGATTCACCATCACTGGCTTATATCATTCAGTGTATTCTAAAGTATGAAATATTTGGAAGTGAATTTCAGTGAGTTAAATGGGACAAGTGAACATGTTTTGCATTAAGATTTTGGAGGCCTCTGTAAGATGAGACACAACGTTCAATAGTTTAGCGACTGGCTTTGAAAAAATAGGAAATCAAGAAATATTGGAAACAGGAACTGAAGTAATAGTTTAAAAGCTAACATTTAGAAGTATTTACAAATACTCCATTTATTCTGGTTTGACTACAGTACTATGCTAAATACAAGAAGATGCATTAATGATAATTTTAGATTACAATTAATAAGCCATTCTGTGTATATCTGAATAAGCAAGTAATATACCTTTAGCTTTTCCAGGAATTCAAGTTGAATTTAAATTAACTTGTTTAGATAAAATAGAAATATATGGATGCACAAAAGGCCTAACATCATCATGAGACAAGTATAACTTTGGCTCTAAATTGCACAGAATAAATTTAGCTTTTGAAATTGTAGAATACTAGATTACAAGAGCAAGAATAGCTAATACAGACTGTTTGACCAGAGTTTAAATTTATATTCAACTGAATTACTCCTCTCACTGGTCCAAACCTTTGCTATTCTTGTTATCATGCAACTGGTAAAATAGAGGTGATTCTTCCTGCTTTTGAACCTTCTTTATTGGGTTTTGATGAAGATAATGTAAAGGGAAACTCTGTATGAACTCCCACAGTGAAAATTGAATGTGCTATGATAAAATTAAAAAAATAAAAATATTGCCAGAGAAATTTGGCTATGTTATAGTCTCTAAAGTCATTAAAAAGAGGCTAATTCTTTCTGTTCATGGGTCGCAGATAGAAAAATGGTGAGAGAAATGATGCCTAGTAGGTAAAGTATGCACAGCCCAACCAGGGCAAAAAGATTGGGTGGTTTGGATAATAGCAAAATACCAGGTGAGTAAGACTGTTTAGTGTTTGCTGGGGAATAGATATTTATACTAAGGCAGAGAATTCGATCATTTATTCCAGTACTATCTTTCATGATTGATACTCAAATTGATTGATAATTGATTGACAACAATTATCTGATGACATTAGGCTGCATTCCTATAGCCAGAATGAAACAATGTTTCCCCTTTAATTCCACTGATCTCCTTTAGTATATTCAATAGCCGTTCTAATATTACTGCATTTACTGCTAAAGCCAGTGCATGTCTTAATGACCTGTTGACTGAATTATCACAGCAGTCTTCCTGCCACTTTTATCTGATGTTTGATCTTTTTAAAATTATTACTGTTGTCAGATCATTTCCTCTTCTGCTGCAGTATATTATAACTGTTTCTTGTCTTGACTGCTTGCTGGCCATTCATCATCTTCAGCTCACATATGCTTCAAGATATGTGTGTATATATACACACACACACACAGATGCACATGGTAGCTAATTTGTTTTTATTGAGCCTGATTAAAAGTGGTTGCGCAAATGGGAGCTGGAATATTTGGAAAGAACTTACTATTCTGTCAAGGTAAAGTTTCTGCTGTCCTAGTCTGTATTTTATCATTAAAAAATTGCCTTGATGTTTATGGTGAAACAATAGTAGTCAATTCTGAGTATTTTCTTTTATATAGCTTTTGAGGACTACCATATAAGTTAGGGATTTATTTTTATTGTAAATAAAATAAAAATTAAAAACTTTTTTTTGTGAGATTGCCAGTTCTCAAGGGAAGTGAACCTATCTGTGGGCACAGATGCTGTTGCCCTAGCCCCGCCTCCCCCCACAGCCCCTTTCTCACCAGCAACCCCCCCCCCAGGAGGAGAGTCACTCCTGGGCAGCCAAGGACATGGCAGCCAGGCAGCAGGGACAAGACTCTGACCTCACACCCTGTCGCGTGCAGATGATGTTGCAGGGTGCAGGCAAAGGGCGTGGCTGCTATGGCGCTGCATGGCCGCCTGGACAATCTGCGGCGGGCCATGGAGGCGGTGGGTGGCCCTGCGGGCGGGGCAGGAGTGGAGCAGGCAGGGCGGGAGGCGGAGCGGGGCGGGTTTTGGGCACTCGATCTATAAATGGTTCGCCATCACTAAGGTAGTGTGTCAACTGAAAGACAAAGCTGGACTTAAATATCTATTTTATTTTATAAATTCCATAAAATGACTTGCAGTACTTTCAAAACCACCACCTGTCTCCAGAATGGGAACAGTTGCAATAGAGGAACTAAATGGATAGCTTGGAAATGTTTCCTTTTACAAAAGATGAGACATGCTTAAATTATTACAATACTGTGACCTGAGCCTCAGCTGTATGTAGTGAAGAATTAGAAATTGTAACAGCAATAATTCAGTAAAATAAAAATAGAATTGAAAATTAATTAAATGTTGGCAGCATGTTGCTGGTGGTGATGGTTGCATGGTGAATGGCTGATGAGTGGACAAACTGTTGTGGCAAGAGAATACTTAATGTTTGAGGGAAGCTCGTTGTAAGGAAGCTGGTGATACAGATCAGATGGGTCAGTGATATAAAGAAGATAGCAGCAGATTTCCTGTGTTTTTCTGATTTTTTTAAAAGAACATATGGAGTTAGTTTGTATATGTCCCACTAAAAAGAGAGGGGAGAAAAAGATGTGGAGCTATAATAATGGAGTTCAGGAGTGGCATTCTGCCTACAGATTTTTCCATTCCTGCTGCAGAATTGCAGGCAGATGCTCAGGAAGGAAGAGTGTTTTGTTTTTCATGATATATGTCTATTAAGACCTTGAGTTTTCAATGCCATCATGGTGTTCATGAACTATTAAATTAATTTTCAGGCAAGAAAAACATTGAAATGATTTCAGATTTATTTACAAATGCATACTCTTACACCTTCTAACACAGAAATAAGCATCAAGTCTATGGCTTGTCTGTTGAATATACATTCAAACCAATATCTCATTAATAGTTTTTTCAAATAAATTTATATCAGTTGGAATATTGTACATGACTGCACACTGGAATATTGTAATTGGAAGGTTGCACATGATTCATTATAAATAACCACCCAGAGGGGCAATTTTTATACAATGAATACTGGTTGAGGCAAGATTACATCTGAAAGGATATTATCATAACTGCAAGAGTTAAAGTACAAAACAGGCTATTCTTTTGACTCAACATCAAGATAGATAACTCTACATCAAGATATAAAACAAGTTGAAGTAGTACAAGCCTGTGCAGATACAGTAAAGATACCTTTTATTTCTTCCAAGTGTGATACTTTTCAATGGGCAATTTCTTGCATTTCTATAATCTGAACCACTGAGTTGAGATATCTTTACTTGGGAAAAAATAAAAGAACTTACTTTGTAGTGGTATTTATCTATGAATATGAATCAGCCCTAAATGACTATAATTGTTGTGTTACAACAGTGGTTCTCAACCTGTGGGCGGGACCCCATTTGGGGTCGAATGACCATTTCACGGGGGTCGCCAAACAACGCAGTCCACCATTTTTTCCCCCTTTTCCTTAGCTGTGCTACTCCCTTTTATTCTATTGGCTTTTGAAAGCCAATAGAATAGACTCTCTTGAATAGAGTCTAATTCTATTGGCTTTCAAAAGCCAATAGGAATTGTCCAGGCTGTCTCTGCCCTGCTGAGCCTGCCAAAAGTCCCATTCTGCAAACGGTGCTGCACCAGTTGAGTAGTCCTCGACTTATAACCAGTTGAGTAGTCCTCGACTTACGACCAATTGGGGGTCGCGGCATTAAAAAGGTTGAAAACCACTGTGTTACAAAGTATTGAAAATAGATAGCCTGTAAAATTAACTGGAAGATTGTTATAAAGTGTGGGATGTATTGTGAGAGGAAAGAGAGAGGGGAGGGGATTTTGAAGTGGGATGCCAGGAGAGAAAATAATGTATGTTTTCCCCAAATAGCAATCTTTTCTCAATCTGAAATATAAACTGCTTTTGAAACTGGAGAGAGAAATGTGGAGTTAAAAAAGGATGTTCTGAAATCTCAAAAAATTGACATGGGGATGTAATTAGTGTGGACCAGTCTTTTGGACCTTTTAAATTCAAGCTGCAGTCCTACCTGTACCTCTCCTGGGAGCAAGTCACATTGAATTTTAGTTGACATGCAGAAAATTGAACTGTCAGTCACATAAGGTGAATTTAGTTACCTGTAAAAAAACAGTTTAGTTACTTTGCCTGTAGAGAACAAGTGGTGCATAACAAGTGGACCAAAATCAACAATTTACTACAATATTTGGCATTTTTGTGTCTGTGTTCTTAGAAGTGCAATGACTCATGCCCTCATCACCACAAGATTAGATTGCTGTAGTGCTCTTTCCATGGGGCTCTCTTTAAACACCATCCAGAACTGCAGTTGGAGCAGGGTAGCAGCCTCTATATGAGGAGGAGATGGATCCATCACAGCTATATTCTCCAGCACTGGAGATGGATAATCCACTCAATGGGTTGAGACTATATTCCTGCCCAATCAGATCAGTCAGCCAAAGTTGCCACGCCTGTCCTGGACCACGAGATCCCAGTCTTGACTGATCTAGCCCAGAGAACAGACGCACAACTTTGGCTCCTAGGCAGGTATAGTTTCTTTCCATTGGTGGATTATCTGCTAGTAGCTGAAATGACTTAGGTTAGGATTAATTGGAGATAATTTAATTTGATTGATTATTCTAAAATATTAAAAAAAAATTCTTTTACTAAATTGTAGGATTCGGAATTCAGATTCCCCAGAGGGAAAACCACCCTCACTTAAAAGGGGGTGAATTCCCTAACTCCCCTCCCTCACCTAACCCCCAACCCTCCACCCCCCCCACATCGGATAGCCGGAACAGCCAGCAGCGGCCTTAAACGAACGGGGAATCCCTCGGAAACTCCGCACGAAGAAGGC